CAGATACAATATAATATACTTGTTTTCTATGTCTAATGTTTGTTGTCTGACTCCTCCCTTTAGAATGAACGTTCCGTAAGAGCCAACGTCTTCCTTTGGTTCACTGATGAATCCCAAGCACCTACCATAGGAATTACCTATCATATAGTGGCCAATTCTACCCAAGAAAGTTCTGAAGAGTATGTACAGAGGTGGGCAAAAGTAGGTTTACAGTTGTGGGTTTGCAAAACATAGAGTTTATTCTTGTATTATTATTTATTCATTTTTGTATTATGTATTTGTATTACAACTGTAAAACTACTGTTGCCCATTTCTGTATTTGTGTTAAGCGGCCAGCTATTTTCTCTCTGTTGCAACACATTTCAGTGCTCTAGAAAAGCAGGTTCAATTCCTAGACTGTAGGAAAACTACCAAGCCGGTAGAATTATGTATTGAATTACCATATCATCAGTTCATTTTGGAAATATTTCAATACCTCAAAAATTATAGTTTGATCTTTTGTAGACCTAATATTTCCTACAATATTTCCAGGAGCACCTATTCACCAAGGTCCATGTTAATCAAAACTGAGACCATAAATCTTCTGACCTCAAAGATTACTTTATAAAACTGTACATTTGTTGAAATCTACCTTTTTGTGTTTTAGTAAATGCATGTGATTGATAAATTTAGGGTAGGATTATGACAACAATAATAAAGTATCGATTCACATTGCATAGCTCCATTTATGTGTAATTTTGTCAGGTTAAAATAGGATAAAATTTAGACATTTAAATGTGTAACTTATGATAATTTCTAAGGCCTCTGGTCAATGAATTAAGATTCATCACGTGGTCCATACTAAGTGGGTGAGTTGGAGCCCCAGCAATGCTATCTAAGCCACCAGCTGTGCTCTTACAGAAGGAGGTGTTTGCCAAAAGCAATTTTTCATTAGTTGATTTGCTGTTGTATGCTGCCTTTAAACACCAACTGCAATTATCAACAGTTCTGCATTTTTTGTCTAAAAGTATAAAACTGCCTGTCAGTCTTTTTGCAATTTAAACTTTAACCTGCTAGCAAATTAAAAAAAGTTTGGAACGCTTTTGAAAGAGACTTCATTTAAATGTTGCTAAACCAGACATTTAAAAAAGAGGCCTAATCCCTCTGGTTATCATCTACAAATTTAAAAGAAAATAGCTAAACCAAATGATAGTGCTAAGAAAACATAAATCAGATGATATTTGCTATAATTATGAAAAGTAGGTAGGTATTTCTGAGTACATTTTATATTTTCTTTGCAAGTATGGTAGGTACTTTTTATCTCTGCCATGACATATGTTAGAGGTTAGTGTACTCAGAATAACTGTTCCTCTTTATGAACTTTCCAAATTTTGCTAGGGGACAGTTTGTTCAAAACACAGTAGCTGGCACATTAGAGCAATTATTCATCTCCTTGGTTAATTGCCATGTTATTCTATCATGAACAATTGAATGGGCTGTTTGATTCTCATTTATTCTAAGTCAGTGTCTTAGAGAGATGCCTTGGCCAAAAAACTGAGACCATAAATCTTCTGACCTCAAAGATTACTTTATAAAACTGTACATTTGTTGAAATCTACCTTTTTGTGTTTTAGTAAATGCATGTGATTGATAAATTTAGGGTAGGATTATGACAACAATAATAAAGTATCGATTCACATTGCATAGCTCCATTTATGTGTAATTTTGTCAGGTTAAAATAGGATAAAATTTAGACATTTAAATGTGTAACTTATGATAATTTCTAAGGCCTCTGGTCAATGAATTAAGACTCATCATGTGGTCCATACTAAGTGGGTGAGTTGGAGCCCCAGCAATGCTATCTAAGCCACCAGCTGTGCTCTTACAGAAGGAGGTGTTTGCCAAAAGCAATTTTTCATTAGTTGATTTGCTGTTGTATGCTGCCTTTAAACACCAACTGCAATTATCAACAGTTCTGCATTTTTTTGTCTAAAAGTATAAAACTGCCTGTCAGTCTTTTTGCAATTTAAACTTTAACCTGCTAGCAAATTAAAAAAAGTTTGGGACGCTTTTGAAAGAGACTTCATTTAAATGTTGCTAAACCAGACATTTAAAAAAGAGGCCTAATCCCTCTGGTTATCATCTACAAATTTAAAAGAAAATAGCTAAACCAAATGATAGTGCTAAGAAAACATAAATCAGATGATATTTGCTATAATTATGAAAAGTAGGTAGGTATTTCTGAGTACATTTTATATTTTCTTTGCAAGTATGGTAGGTACTTTTTATCTCTGCCATGACATATGTTAGAGGTTAGTGTACTCAGAATAACTGTTCCTCTTTATGAACTTTCCAAATTTTGCTAGGGGACAGTTTGTTCAAAACACAGTAGCTGGCACATTAGAGCAATTATTCATCTCCTTGGTTAATTGCCATGTTATTCTACCATGAACAATTGAATGGGCTATTTGATTCTCATTTATTCTAAGTCAGTGTCTTAGAGAGATGCCTTGGCCAACTATATGGCCATTTTATTTTATTTTATTTTATTTTATTTATTTTATTTTATTATATTTTTATTGATTTTAGAGAAGAAGGAAGAGGGGGAGAAAGATAGTAAGTGAAATAAGCCAGTCAGAGGAAGACAAATATCACATGATCTCAATTATATGTGGAATCTAATGAACATGATGAATGGAAAAGCAAAATAG